CAGCCGTAGTGAGACGAGGAACGTGACCTTTTAGTCAAGATTAAACACGTGACATTGAAGTTATCTACAAGTGACCCTTTGAGGGCCGACATAATGCTCATGTGGCCCTCGGTGAAAACGAGCAGACACCCCTGTTGTAGAGGATAGAGTGCAGTTTAACATTGTCGTGCTGAAGTATGAAAGACCTTCCCAAATAAAAACCATAGTCTGAATGAAATGTATAAACTGATCAGCAATTCAAAATTACTTAAGGTATAATTTCTCAGTTTAAACATTTAATAAGTTGACAATGTTTCGTTGTGAAAAAAATGAGTTCATGAGATTTGCAAATTTTGTTTTCAATTTACATTTTACACAAAACCGCAGCTTTTCTGGTTTGTGAAACATCTGGGAGACAATGTTTGTCTCTACGGTGAAATGAACGGTCTTGTCATATATTTTTGCAGGATTTGATCCACCGAGTGTTTGTGATCCGAGGTGCCACGGTGGGCTGCTAATCAGAGGATGTTGTTAATCTCTTGACTGCAGAGCTTTTCATGAGCCTTGGAGCAAAACCGCTGATCCTCAAAATGAGCCAGGCTGAGAGAGAATAAGGCATGAAACGCTCCAAGGTTTTTTCCTCTTTTTTTTTTTTTGACGGCGTCCACACAGAGCTGTTTTTAATGGTGTGCAGAGGGACAGGTCAGTTTAATGAGGTGATGTGAAGCCTGGAAATGAACGGTGCTGTGATATCCTGCAGCACGGCAAATAGAAGCACTGGGAACCATTGAGCTTCAAAGCCTGAGGCGCAGGGCTGCACTGCAGAGCAAACAGCCAGAGTGTTAGTTCGTGTAATGATGCAGAATGGATGTTGGATGATTACCACGCCGCTCACAGACGTCTCCTTTTAAAAAAAGCCACACTGGCTGCAGCGTCTCACTTTGCAGGCGAGCACCATTTCATCCAAATGACATTACCCCACAGTAATCAGGACTAATTTGATGGATACGGCTTTGTATTAGCAGTTTAAAGTCGTGTCTTTAAACAGGATGCACGCTGCTCATCCTGGTGATCTGTTTTCATGTTGGAACATTTTTCTGTAGCAGCCCCTGGGGTTATGATGGAACGGTGCAGAATGGCTCAGAGCCCTCCTCCTCCTCCTCCTCCTCCTCCCTGCACATCCTCCACTCTGGTGGCTGGCTGGAGATTTAATGGCTTTAGCAGCTGTTGAGGAAAAGCAGTGAGAGCTTGTGGCATA